ATGCTTATATCCAATAAGCATTCAGGTTTATACAGCTTGGAGGTAGAAAATATGCATAAAATTGATGATATGGTCAAAATACTCACATGTATACCATTCTGAAAGCTTCTATATATCACATATATTTAGAAACCACTTTTCTAAAACAAAGTGGGATTATGGCACTGTAATAGTTGAGGGAAGTGTGGGCAGAGGACAGCAGACTATAAGAGAAGACTTTGGGAAAAGCAAGGATTGGATTGCTCGAATAGGTCGGAGAAAAACTGAGAATTCTTCACTAATTCAAATTTTGATCCAAGGTAGAGAAGTATTGTGCACCATCCTGTATATGAAGAAGATTCTGCTGAATACTTAGAAATTCAGATCTGAGCCTGGCTCAGGAAGTACCATCTCAGGCAAACGCACATATTAACTTATGATGAGATACCTGCAAGTTCTACAGTACTTGCTGCAGTCCCCAGAAGCATGCTTCCGGGTACTTTCGATCAATTCTGGCACAAAACTGAAGTAAGAAGAGATGTTAGTAAGAAGTAAAGAGGCTTTAAGCAATCCTTCCCAGAAATGCATCTCTATTTATGTATTATTTTCCTTGTTGTGTAGATCTCATATGGTGCATTTCAAACTGCAATGAGTTGTGAAGCCAACATCCCTTCTTTCTATCACATGGGTCCAGATGAAAACCTTCAGTCCCAAGGCATTGTTCATCTCCTCCTGCATTTCAGATGGAAATGGATAGGACTCATCACTACAGATAATGATGTTGGAGACATTTTCCTGGAGACCATCGAGCCAATCCTTTCTGAAAATGGAATCTGCTCCGCTTTCACAGAAAGGGTGCCAAGTAAACTCCCTTTTACCGGCCCAGATTTAATCAACATAGCTCTCTTCAGAAGCGTAGATTTCCTACACAGTATGGCCAGTGCCATTGTTATGCATGGGGAAACCAAAACCTTTATGTGGATAGCCGTCCTTCTTTGGGTTTCAACAACATCCATACATCTTATAAATCCTGAATATAAGGCCAATACCTCTGTAGCAAAAGTATGGATTTTGACAGCTCAGATTGATTTAACAATGAACATCTTCCAAAGGTTTTTTGATGTACAAATGTTTCATGGTGCTATCTGTTTCTCCATTCACTCAAAGGAGCTCCTAAATTTCCCAGAATTTCTTCAGACAGTCAATCCATTTTGGACAAACAGAGATGGTTTTATCAAAGATTTCTGGGAGCAAGCTTTTGATTGTCTTATTCCAGATTCTGATCTCTTGACAAAAAGTAATGAGATGTGTACAGGAAAAGAGAGGCTGGAAAGCCTTCCTGGGCCCTACTTTGAAATGAAGATGATGGGCCACAGCTATACAATCTATAATGCTGTCCATGCCATAGCACATGCCTTGTATACCATGTATTCTTCTGGCTATAAGCGCAAGAAAAAGATGGATGGGAAGATGGAGATACCTCTGAATGTGGAACCATGGCAGGTATTAGCTCCTTACAATCAATCATTTTTACTAACCTCAGATAAGGCAATATCTTGAGGGTATCTTAGTACACTACTTATGCCTCTTAGCTGATGGCATGTTACCTTGGGAAATAGTCTCTAGTGTACAAATCCTAGCTTATATTTCATAGTGTGAGCATACTTATGGTATATTGGCCAATATATGTCAAAAATGGCTGGTACTGTCCTCCAGATTGCGGGGTAGGGTCTGCAAGCAAGGTTATGACTAAAGCTGGTAAGTTGGTCTATGCCTTCTCTATCATATTAAAAAGCATTATGTGACACGGGCCAATATCTTTGGGTCCCATTTAGGGATGAGCAAAGCATATGAAGGATTAAGACTTAGAATGTAAAAGGAATAAATGGCAATCAACATGAATTAACAAATAGGTATAGTGCACATCTGTGAAACTAACAACAAATAAAATATTTTCTTATAGCAGGCACCCAACTGGAGTATGGTTTAGCCACATCAAAATTAAGAAGTAAAAACAAGTAACAGTTAAATTACACAAAAGCAATGCATTTAATAAATACCATGATAGATTTTCAGTCACGGTAAAAATAACCCTTAAACACCTAAAACCTATATCTCTGTAAAATCCTAAAACCTATATCCCTGCCATCTACCTTTGCTAATAAGTGTTACAATACAAATAGCTTCTAAGGGTATAAATGTATAAAACAAATAATAAAGTAAATAAAGTAAAAAGTAAATAAAAGGGGGGAAGTTAGAAACCCAATAGTTATTTTTCTTGTTTCTTCTTTTTTCTATTTTTTGGAATTTCAATTCTTGTTAAATTTGCTTTTCTTAATCTATTTTTTTGTTATTAACATGTATATATAGTAACAATACAGTGGAGACCTTAACACTAGTAATCAACTCAAGACCGAAACCTTTTTCATACAACAAATACTTTGATGCAATCTGCAACTTTTTTTTTTTAATGTTATACTCAGCTTTGCATGAAAAGGTCAAATAATGTTATGCTTGTAATTCTGACATCCTAAATTGTAATTAATATTGATATGGGCGGTGTCCAAATTTGAAATATAGATAAATAAATAAATAAATAAAGTTATCTAAGTAATAGAATGTCAATCATTTTCAATTAATATTTTATAAACCTCATTGTATCAAAACAATACAATGTATTAAGATTGATAACGACATAATAAAAAGGGGGAAATAAAAAAGTAAATAAAATTAAATTAAAAAGAGGAGCAGGAAGATTGTGAAAATCATAGATGGATGGAGTTGTTGAGATTCTTTTTAAGAGAGCAAAAATTAGAACAAATGACAATGTATGGGCTCCTGGGACAGAAAGGTAAGTAGTAGATACAGCTTTGTTTCTTTTACTTATCTTTTAGCTAGATGTAGCCATGTTTCTTTTTCTTATTTCATGCTTTTAATGCCTTTGGCTTTCTATTTCATATTCCTTTTCTGGGCTCTGTACTGTATAATATTGTTTACTTCCAAAGGGAATATCATGGTAAATAGTTATCTGTGTTACTATAATGAATAAGGAGATGAATGGCAAATCTGTGGAATGATACAGTAGGACTATTCCTGTGCCTAGGACTATGTTGTCATTTCTCTAAAGTCACAATTATATGCTGAAGTCAGCTATGACTTCATATGCACATGGAAGCTAGCTAAGCATGTGAGGGAATATTAAGAGCCATCGTATCTTTGTCTGCATAAACTGGATTAGCTCAGGATAAGTAAATGGGGGAAAACAGCATTTGTCTGTAACTGGACCTATATACAAATATGCTTGATCGTCCATCCATACATATAGTTCAGTTGCATACTTTCCCACTCTCATACCCTCTCTCTCACACACACACACCATTGTCCCTAAACTACTCAGCCCATCAGGCTTTAGATCTTTGAAAACATCTCTAGGGCTTGATGTCACTTCTCATTCCCTCGCAATCCCTTTTCTCTTCTCCACAGCTTCACTCATTTCTTCAGAAGACCACTTTCAATAATAGTGCCGGAGACAAAATTACATTTCAGGACCCAGCCAATGGGTTTGATATTATGAACATAGTGACTTTTCCCAACAACTCCTTCGCCAAAGTCAAAGTGGGAAGGTTGGATTCTGCAACTTCTCCAGAAAAGAAGTTCACATTTAATGGAAAGGAAATCCAATGGCATCATGGACTTACTCAGGTGGTGAAAGTATATTCCATCTCAACTAGAGATAAGATGTCATCTATGAATTAGCAATGTCTTAGTTCAAGGAGAGAAAAGGCCATTCTTCATTTGAGCATAACAGACTTGTGTACTCTAAAATCAAGACTTGTTCATGCCCTACTGAAAAAATAAGGGGGAAGAAGAAGTAGAAAAAGGAGTCTTGTGCACCAATTTTAGAATTTTTATGAAAAAAAGGGGGAGGATTGTACTAGATTAGCTAGATAATGTTGCATAGATCAATTACTGAGCACTTCCAAATAGCAACAAGTGGTTACTATATCATGTTGCTGCTAGAGTCAATGTGGCATAATGGTTAAAGACTGAGTAGACTCATATTCTAATCAATCCTTAGCTATGAGAATTCACAAGGTGACTTTGGATCAGTTAGTCAGTCTCTCAGTCTAACATACCCCTGGGGGGTGGGGGGGAATAACATGAAAGGATATATTGTACATCTCCTTGAACTCTTTGAGGAAGGGCTGGTTATAAATCAAAGAAACCAACATAGAGTGCCATATCACTCTATCTCTCAAAAGAATCAGGAGAGAGAATAAATGAAGCAATCAAAACTGAATGAGTCTGGTAGTACCATTTCTAACTAACAGATTTTATTAAAAGGCTAGCCGCTCTATGCATCTGATGAAGTCAGCTGCAGCTTACAAAGCTTATACCTTTTAATAAGATATATTAGTTGGGAAAAGTGCTACCAGATTCCTCCTGATTCTTTGCCATCATAGACCCACACAGCACCCCTCCTACAATATCAGAATAAATCTATAACCAAACCTAAACACCTATGCACCTCTACCCAAACATGAACCATGCCATAGAGTAATTAAAAAAAAACAACTTGTTTCCTCGCTTGAAAATAATCTTTTTGGGGTTAAAAATCCTTTTTTTTTTTTTCCCCCTAAGAGGTCAAACTGCTGCCATTTTCTCTTAATCAACCATCACTAATCAACTAAGATATTGTCTTTCTCTTCCAACCAATAATGGTTCTCCCCAGAATCTTTCCCCATTTTTCCCCATTGAGGAAGGAGTATGCTAACTCTTTCATGATGCTTAGACACCATAGTCCCTATATCAATTGTTCATATCAATAAGAGATGAAGGATCTAGTTGAACAGGTAACGATGATGCTCTTTACTATTATATTTTAAAAGGAATGTAAACATATACTGCCATACATTTCTAATGGGGTGGATTTGTGATATCCATCCAAACAGATATTGACATGTATAGATAAAATAACAAAAGACAACATCAAGGAAATTTTATTGGAGGAAAAAAGATCTCTTGGAAAATTTATATTCAGAACTATATATGGTGAAGAGGTTTTGGATAAAATCTTTATAAGTTAGTAAACATCAATAGATGTGACGTTTAAATAAACCATACTCATCTGTATATCTCATGATTGAGTTAGAGTTATAGGAATGAGATTTTGGAAACAAACCATGAAGATTCTACAGAAAGCTTCATATCCTGCATTAGAATATCACTGAAGGTAGGAGAGAATAGGCAGTATTACTAGTCTTGATATCCAAATTTTCAACACACTCACTTCCACCCAAGGAGCTCAGAGCTTAGATTTCTTATTTCACAGCATGAGCCCTTGCTTACTGTAGATTATTTCTGTGGCCAATTTGCAGATATATTTTCTCAACTCTACGTACTTCCATTATTCATGAACAGGTTCCTCCTCCCTCTCTATGCAATGACCCTTGCTTGCCAGGTAACAGCAAGGAAAAGCTGGAAGGGAAGAAATTTTGCTGCTATGATTGTGCTCCATGTCCAGAAGGGATGATTTCAAGGGAAAAGGGTATGTGATATGCTCATTAGAGACATGAATGCCATTAACTATCCAGAGAGTTCCTTGGGACTGAAAAGAAGAAATGCCATCAGAAGAATATTTAAATCCTTTGGCAAGAGTACAATTTTGGTAGATTTACAAATAAATTCCTTTGCCAACAACTTAGGGTGTAGTAAATGTGGGATAGAACCATCTATGCTGAAATATCTCAAGCCAGTTCCTTGATTCCAAGTTGCCAGATTTAGGAGGGCTGATGCAAAAGGACCAACTTTCCTTTTTGGTCCCTGAAGGAGACTGATGCTCTAACAGAGGAGAAAATTAAATTGGGTTTCTTCCTATACTGAGCCACCAGTTTAAATCCACCCCATAATCCAAGCTTGTATTCAACAATTGACAAATAAACATTGGTCTTATACCTACTGTAGCTATTTACTCCTAGTATTAGTTTGGAATGTAGAGAAACCGCACTGTCACCCTACTTAACTTCCTCTTTCAACTGAATCATTTAGGCTTGAATAAACATAAGGAAAGCAAATGCTTCATCTCCTCCATAGCAATAGCCTTGTCTTATGGTTATACATCATAAGAGTTTGTTTGTTTTGGAATATAATTGCTTTAAAATACCTAATTATCTTGTTTCAGACATGGATTATTGTCTTAGATGTCCAGAAGATCAGTATCCAATGAAGGACCAAGATCAGTGCATTCCAAAAAGTCTAAGCTTCCTTTCTTTTGTAGACCCTCTGGGAATTATGTTCATTTCTTTGGCTCTTTTCTTTGTTGTGATCACAGTTCTGATCCTTGGAACATTTGCTAAAAATCAGGAGACTCCAATTGTCAAAGCAAATAACCGGAGCCTGAGTTACATTCTTCTGGTCTCCCTTCTCTTCTGTTTCCTCTGCTGTTTTCTGTTCATTGGACAAGCTAATAAGTACACCTGCTTCCTCCGCCAAACCATGTTTGGTATCATCTTTTCCACTGCGGTTTCTTCTGTTTTAGCCAAAACCATTACAGTGGTTGTGGCTTTCATGGCATCCAAACCTGGAAACCTGTTTCATAGATGCGTGGGCAAAAACCTGGGGTATTCTATTGTTTGGTGCTGTTCCCTTATCCAAGTTGGTCTATGTGCTCTATGGCTAAGTACGTCTCCACCTTACCCTGATCTGAACAAACATTTGATAATGGAAGAAATTATAATAGAATGTAATGAAGGATCAGTTGCCATGTTTTACTCTGTCTTGGGCTACTTGGGCTTTCTGGCAGTGATCAGCTTCCTGGTGGCCTTCCTAAGCAGGAAGCTACCTGACACTTTCAATGAAGCCAAATTCATCACTTTCAGCATGTTGCTTTTTTGCAGTGTTTGGTTGTCTTTTGTTCCAACCTACCTGAGTACTAAAGGAAAATATATGGTGGCTGTGGAGATCTTCTCCATCTTGGCTTCCAGCACTGGATTATTATTTTTCATCTTTATTCCCAAATGCTACATTATTGTGTTGAGGTCAGATCTGAACACTAAGGAGCAGCTAGTAAAGAGAAAGTATTGAGTTATCTAAGAGTGGGGGTTCCTATCTTGTTATTAATTTACCTTCCTTGAAAAGGATAATAGAATGTTGAATTTCCTACTATAGTTTATACAGAAACATTTCTTGTTTTCCTTTCTAATTAAAAATGAGAGATTGCATTTCATCCTATTAAGACTTTGTAAAATATTTGCTCCAACTGAAGCAAGAATTAACCTTTTTTTGGAAATAACACATTTTTGAAAATAACACATATTGGTTGGCTCTCTTATCATGTATTTTCTTGATTACTATGTTCAAATTAACTCAGCCAAGCTCAACCCTTATGACTGTTAAATAAATAAATAAGTGATAGCCTTCTTGGACTTTTGTCTCTCCCCTTCCCTACACATACGCACACACACGCACACACTATTGGTTTGATTACCAGGATTAATCTGGTATGTGACAGAGTTAATTTAATTTAATTTCATTGTATGAGGTACAATGACAATAAAGTTTACAAATTACAAATCATGAGATCTTGTGGGAGTTTTTTATTTGAGAAATATTAGCATGGAGGATATCAGTGAATGACAGAAATAATCAAGCAGAGATGGGATAGCTTCTTTCTTTTTATCGCTTAAGGTCCCTATTCTACCATTAGAATTTAAATGGCATTACTATGTTTTTGCCTTTCTAAATTAAAGGGAGAGATATGACTAAAGTTATTTTTTGAAAACTGGATATTTTAAATAATTAGACTCTATTAAATCAGAACTAAGCACTACCATACCATATCCAATACAACTCAGTATCGTGTATGTATTTGCATACATAATAGTCCTGATCCAAACTCATTGGTTGCATACCCACGAATATCATCATTCTCAGTCCTGTCTATAGCTCTGTGTGTTTTCACTTCACAATGTATCAGTACACCACTATGCTAGAAATGTCATAAATTCCACTCTGTTTGTTGCTTTCAGTTATGCTAATTTTTCTACTCAAATTAATATTCCCACTGGGATTAAAAATATCTAAGGCAGTCCAACCACAGGCTGATACAAACCCAGTAATATTTAAATTTAGTAGTATTTCATAAAGGCCTGCGACAATTCAAATATTTCAGTCATTGGCAGGAAAAGATCTGTTGGAATTGAAGTTTCTTCTAAAACATGAGAAAGGAAGGGTATTTAATGAACCTATCCAGAGAGATTATTCCATAATTTGGCTGCCTAGTGTTGCATGGAGACTTAGCTACTTGAACCTTGAATACAAGTTGCCCTTGGATTACGACAGCAATTGGGACTGGTCATAAAGTGCAATGTCACATGACTGCATCGCTTAGTGATGGCAATCCCAGCAGTCCCGGTTGCTGCTGTAACCCCAGGACTGCACGGGTCATTAAGCAGGAAGAGGGAGGAGTCCCAGTCAAGTAGAATGGGGAGAATGTGTGGGTACCACAGGGGGGTTGGGGGTTCCGCAAGCAGGCACTGTGGAACTATTCCCACCAGCAACTCTGTGTGTGAGTTTAAAACCTGAAACAGGACATGAGTGTAAGGGTGCATGGGTGCTACAGGTGGTGGAGGGTACTGTGGGTAGGCACTAGGGAGTGTGGGCAGGACAGTGGGGGCTTCAGGCAGGACAGTGGGGGCCATCAGCAGAACAGCAGGGGCCACCAGAGGGCACTAGGGAGCGCAGTGGGCCAGCTAGGGAATGTAGGTGGGCCAGTGGGGGCTGCAGGGAGGCTGGTGAGGGCCATGGGTGGGTGCTAGGGAGTGTGGGCAGGATAGTGGGGGCTGCAGGCATAATATATAAAATACAGAGAAAAATATAAAATCTCTATATTTTCCACATGAGTGATATGAGTCAGGGGATTTCCTTATTTGTGGAATAATTGCTCATATCCATTACATTTTCCTGACCTTTCATTCAAGGGGCTTCCTTCTCAGCAGTTTATTAACTGGCTGACAATGTCTCCTCCCTTCCCAGATTTTGATGTTTTGAATACTAATATGCAACAAGGGTTCAGCTTTCATGTTCTACTGGGTTTTGGTTTATATGGGCTTGCTGGCCATTGTAAGCTTTAGTCTGGCCTTCCTGGCCAGGGAGGTGCCAGACAGTTTTAATGAAGCCAAGTTCATCATTTTCAGCATGTTGGTCTTCTGTAGTGTTTGGTTGTCCTTCATTCCCACCTACCTGAGCACAAGAGGAAAAGATATGGTGGCTTTGGAGATCTTCTCCATTTTGGCCTCCAGTGTTGGGCTACTTGGCTTCATCTTTTTCCCCAAGTGCTTCATTATTATACCAAGCTGAACATAAGAGAACAGCTCATGTGAAGGAAAACTTAAGAAGTAAAATGGTCATTGCCATCCTTCATATTATTTTAAAAGTATATATGGATACAGTGTTTTAATTCAATCATTTATTGAACATGCAGTACTCATTCAGTATGCTAAAATTAATTCTATTAAAGTGCAGAGTACATTGTGATGTGTCTTGATAGTTATTTCCAGAATTGTTCAATAATAAATTCTACCAGCCCATCCTGGCATTATGTTATTATGTAACAAAGGGTCAACTTTCATACTGTACTATGTCTTGGGTTATATGGCCTTGCTATCCATTGTTAGCTTCTGTATGGCCTTTCATTCAGTTTTAATGAAACCAACTTCATCACCTTCAGTATGTTGGTCTTTTGCAGCACTTGGGTGTCCTTTATTCCACATACAGTACCAGAGCACCAAAGGAAAAGACATGATGGTTATGGTGATCTTCTCCATCTTGGGCACAAGTATTGGCTTACTTAGCTGCCTATTTTTTCCCCATGTGTTGCTTTATTCTGATGAGACCTAACTTTAATATAAAAAACAATTGATGTGAAGGAAAATATAAGCAATGGGAAAATTGTTTGATCAATTCATACATCTTCCTGGTATCTCATACAAGATCTGGTATAAATGAAAGTCAACCAAGGTAGCCAATGCAGGTTTACTCTGTGATATTTACTTATCTAATTGTTCTCCTCAATTGTCATATTTCAAACACTTTATATGAAGACTGTGTCTCTGGAGAAATCTATAATGCTGGGAAAGCTGGAAAGAAAGAGAGGAAGAAGATTACCAGCAGCAAGGTGGATAGACTCAGTTACAGTGGTGATGGGGGCACCATTGGAAGAGCTGAAGGACCAGGCTGGGGACAAATCATCCTGGAAAAACCCGATATAGTCATTCAGAGCTGACACTGATTTGATGGCACAAAATCAGTCAGTTGTTCTCCTCACCTATACTAATCAATAAGTAAATAAATCATCAGTAACCATTCCAGATAAACTACAATTCTGCTAAAAACCTGCTCTCTGCCATATGAACCTAATATTCTTCCGGAAGTATTTGGTGTGTTGGGCAAACAATAACAGGAAGGCACATTTCAATGACATTTTGGTTAAGTGGCTTGAGTCCCTAACCCCTGCTTAGTTCCCATATTTCTCTTTCAGATAACCTGAAAGAGTTATCTCCATCCCTCTTTCTTTCAACTTCTGGAATCCAGTCTGGAGCAGGAGAGCAGGTGTTGGAACCATGACATCAAAATTGTACTTTATTTAGGGGGTTTTGTGTCCATTTTTTTTTTTAATGACATGGATAACCAGTTGATGATTTAGGATGTTGTTGTTGTTGTTTAGTCGTTAAGTCGTGTCTGACTCTTCGTGACCCCA